TATTAACAGACAGGGACACTCCCTTGTCTTACAGGGGAAAGGAAACAGAGAGGAAGGCAGAAGAATAAAGCAATCAGATGTGTGTCCCAAATATTGTCTCTCCAGGTTCAGAAAACAATAAGTCTATTAGATAATTGAATTCTAGTTACTCCTTGAGCTGTAGTCTGGGGAGTGCCCTCAGGGAAAAAGCCTTTTAAGCATGGATGTTACCCTATGCAGTCCTTGCTCCCAGGATCAAAACACTTTCACTTTCTATCTAGTTTTCCTTGCTTTCCTGGGCTTTTTAGTATTTGATTCTTAATCGTTTATCCAAAGTTTACCTAGGTTGTTTGGTCTGTTATAAGCCTCGCTGTTATTTTGGGAACCAGACTCAAGCTCTGAGGTTTTATTTTCTTGTCCTTTCCTTGGTTCATGGATAAAATGACCAGAGTTGAGAATTATATGAACATTTGGTTGGGAGACAGTCAAAGGAATTTCCCACGGGAGTGACAGTGAGGTCACTGCTGAGCGAGGAGTGGAGCACACTCACCCACACTGCATGTGGCACACGCTGCTGGGCATCTGCTTACTAGCCATTCGCCCCTTCTTCCTCACTAACAAAAGCAACGCGCCCATGTGAAATACTAAATTGCACAGTGTTTCTTGCAGCTGTGGTAACTGTACGACCAAGAGATATAAGCAGAAGTCCTGTGGGGATTTCTGGTTGGCTTTGCTTTTGTATTGTAAGTGCCATTCTGTCTTCCTTATTGTTTCTGTCTTCTTTCTGCCTGCAATTCAGACATGAGGCTGAAAGTGAAGCAGCCATCTTGCCATTTTGAGAACAAAGTTACTTGCAAAGAATGGTGGAGCAGGTAGGGAGAAAAAAAATCAAGTTCTTTGGACAGTTACATCAGCTCTGGACTTGCCACCCGTAATCTCCTTGTTATATCAAAATTTAATCCCTTGTTTGTTACCCACTTTAGTGAAGTTTCTCCGACATGCAGCCAAACACACTCTCTGGCTGATATTCCAGGACTGAATGAGAGGTGGTGCCAGACCAGCCACAGGGAATTTTGGACCAGCAGCAGCCAAGTTGTGGTGAAGTCAGCCAGGGAGCACCCCAAAGGGCACTGCTTGGATTGAGAAATTAGCTCTGGGTCACACGAGCTTGTGGACTTTCTTGTTGGGGGCCAGCAGGACTTCAGAGACTTGATAGACAAGGGACATCACTCAACAAGTAGAGGAGACAGGGGCTGAGGCCTGGGGACCCCATCCTTCTCCACAAGCCACTATGTCACATGAGGCACACATCCCTCACTGAAGGAGAGAAACAGGACTGTGAGGGGTTGGCTCTCTAAGTCACCTAAATAGAGGAACTAAACACCATCTAAAGGGGCTCCTTAACAGGTCAGATTGGACTGGTTTAAACAAGAGTAAACATTTAGTTATATTTGTTCCCTAGTAGTAATGGATGGGAGCTAGGAAAAATTATAAAATTATAGACAAATTAAAAATTTGCATTCTCTCTCTATGCCCTAAATGTAGTATATGTTTGATTTTTGCTGTGTAGGCTGTTTCCAGTGAATTCCAAATTGTTCCACCAGAGGCACTTGACTTATAGCCTCAGGGGACACATTTCCACAAGCTTGTTCAAAGCATTTTCCTACAAAGGCAACTATTACCTCAAGAGGAATTAAAAGTAGAGTTAAAAGGTCTCTGTCTCATTACGCTCTCTTGTAAATCCTGTATCAGAGATATAATGCTTAACAAAATGAGTGCACTACATAACACAGCAACCATGTTTATGAAGCAAAAACTACAGGAAATGCAAGGAGATGTGGATTAAAATGCCGTAGTAATAGGAGATTTTAATGCACTGTTATCAGCACAAGTCCAATCAAGTAGACAAAAAATAAGAAAGGAGATAGAAGAATTAAACAACATAATGAAGAAAGTAGATCTCAGGTATATAGAGAATACACTCTATTTGCAATAATAATAGAGAATAGATCTTTTTGCAAATGCACATGGAATATTCACAAAAATTGATCATATATTGATAAACATTAGCAAACATCAGCGAGTTCTATAAAGCAGAAATATATAAACAACACTTTCTGATCACAATGCAATAAAACTAGAAATTACTTTTGAAAAATGGTCCTTCCATCTAGAAAATAAAATACCTTCTACTAAACAACTCTTGTTGAAAAGAAAAATACAAACTGAGACTTTAGAATTTCTTAAAAGTCTTAATAATGAAAACACTAAATACCAGAAGCTATAGAATTCATTTAAAGAAATGATCAGAGGAAAATGCATTGCACCAAAGACTTTTTCAATGAAAATAAATTAAATTTTCACTTCAAAAAAACTAGAAAAAGTACAATAAAGTAAACCAAAAGAAGACACAAATGTGGAAAACAAATATTAGTGTAGTAGAGGATAAAAAGCATTAGACTTAATAAATCATAACCCTGGTTTATTGGAAAAAAATTAAAATAAACTATTAATTAACTTGTTCAAGAAAAAAAGAGAAAAGAGCACAAATAAAAATTTCAAAATGACAAGAGGAAATAACCATTGAAATAGGAGAAATTTAAAAAATTTAAAACCTCTTTGAAAATAAATTTGAAAACCTAGATGAAATAGATAATTTCCTAGGGAAATACAGATTACCAAAATGGTTTCCACTAGAGAAAGAAAATTTCAGTAGACCAATTTACGTGGAAGAAATAGAGAAAGGTATTAAGAAATCACAACACAAACTAAGCACCAGGGCCAGATTGTTTTGTTTGAAAATTCTTCCAGACCTTCAAAGTGCAGATAGTTCCAGTGCATTGAAATGAAGGGGAATTTCCTTATTGCTTTTTCAAAACAAATATAACATTGATATCTAAGCCTGATAAAGACAGTACAAAAAGATAAAACTATAGACCAATATCTTTCATGAATATCAATACAAAAATACTAAGTAAAATATCAGCAGATAGATTCCAACACCACATTAAGCATGTGATACATTATTACCAAGTGAAATTTAAAACAGAAATGAAAAATTGGTTCAATATTTGGAAATCAATTAATATCATTCACCCCGTGAATAGATTTAAGGAAAAAGAATCATAAGTTTATTCCCATAGATGATTTTAAAAAAGGCTTTGACAAAATTCAATAGTCATCCATGGTAGAAACACTCAAGAAAATAGCGATTGGGGATACTTGCTTAATATGATTGTATACACACACACATATGCACACAGATACATCTTATATACTACTGTAGTCCAGTATCTCACTTACTTAACTGGGAAACACTGAAAGCATATCCAGGGACAAAGCAAGCATGCCCATTCACTGTTATTCAACATTATAATGGAGGACTTAGCCAATGCAATTAGACAGGAGAAATCAATTAGGGGCATAAGAATAAGTAAAGAAGAAGTAATAAACCGTGGTATGCCCCTAAGATGGAATACTACTCAGCAATAAAAGAGAACAAGCTATTAATACCCACAACTTGGATGATTCTCAAAGTCATTTTGCTAAGTGAATGAAGACAGTCTCAAAAGAGACTTGGTTTTACTTATCTCTAGATTCTCAGTGTCTGGTATAAAATCTACCATGAAGTGCAAAATCGATGAACGTTAATGAATGGATGAATAGGTATAGACTCCCAGAACTCTTGAGAGAAGGGAACATGTTAGAGGCCTCATTCTCCTATTATATTAATTGCAATGCATGATATATACCAAGGACCTTCTGTTCTGGGAGACAAATGGACAACACTGTTCTCAGGGTATTTTACATGGGCTTCTCTTCACCTTTCTGATTCTCAAGAGAAGAATTTTTTTTTTTGCCTCATCTACAGCATTAACCTGAATGCAAGGGTAAGAATAATTGAATGCATTGACACAGAAAAGAACCACTGCAGTTAAAGAATTATTTTTCAGATTAAACCTGTGTTTACTTTTTCTTGGGGGGCATCTGTGGCTCTTTGGTTATATATTTGCTTACAGAAGATTCTAATACAATAGGATGTTAGATTTATATCTCAGAATTTTGGCTAAAACTCCAATGATGAAAACTATTGACAAAAATGCACCCACATTCTGCAGAGTGAAACCAAATCTGTCTCCCTTGGAGTGACTATTTCTAAAGGAATTGTGAGCATCTGTATGTGGTGCTTTTCTTACCCTTGAGCCTTTGCTAACTTTTCTTAAGTGTGCAGTTTAAACTCGTTTGTGTTTTGGGGAAATAAGGGAGAGGTTTATGTCCTATTTTGGGCAAATCACTTGGGGCAAGGAGAAGCCAATTTCAAGATGGAGGATTAAGTTGGCGTAAGTCACATATGCCCACTAGGACATGTTGCTAGAACATGTGATTTGGGAAATCCCAGAAATTATTAGGTGAGGAGGACACTGTAGAAAAGCAGCAAAGGGATAGGGACTTCAACTCTTGTCCAAATATTAAAGGGAATTTTTGCACCAGGCAAACCACCACGATCTCAGAAACCTTGGTTACACATAATTTCTATCAGCACATAATGAATGAACCCAAGGAGAATGTGGTCTTCACCTGGCAGAGGGGTTGAGAAGGTGGCTCAAATCTTCCTGGGAAAAGGAGGAGAGATGTCTTGAGAGTAGACCAAAACCAGCTCCCAAAACATCTTGAGCTTTTACCAAAAAGTGAAATCCATCCCTGTGTTCTTAGAAGAAGTAGTAGAGAAGTGGTATTAAAAAAACAAAAAAAACAAAAAAACATTCCAATTTTGCACAAATATGAGAGAACAGAAAAGTTTTATTATAGTAACAATAAGCAAATAATTCAACTGAGGGGGCGGGCAGCAGTGTGCAGATGATCCGCCAAGCAGTAAGTAATCAAGATTTGGGGTTATGGAGGTGGGGTGTCAGCAGTTAGTTTGACAGGAAAAGGAGAGAACTGGCTACTCAGCAAATTGGTGACTTTGAGGTTGGTCAGAGTTTCTACAGATACATCCGAATATACCAAACATTGTTATCCTATCTGTTGAATCTCTGTCTTTCTCACTTTCTGGCATTTCACCTAGTTGAGTTCTGAGAGATCGATTTTCCAGACAACTCTTTGTCAACACTTCAATGGACAGATGATAAGGAACAATTTGAGTCCTTTTGTGAAAATGGAATTAAGCAAATTTACATTCATCTGGAAAGAATTCTATAAGCATCTCCATCTATAAGACTAACTAATGCAAAGAACTGATCTTTCTAACAAACTGTATGGGTAAGATGATCACTGTGCTCCTAAAGGCAAAAATAAGTGTGAAGAAGCTCCAGGGGGCGATTATCTGCCAATCTGGAAAAAATCTAGAGGAGAAATAGAGAGAGCTCAGGGCCATTTTCTTTGGTCTCTTGCATTCCTTTTCTCTGTGTCTCTGAGAAAGAATTCACAAGGTAGGGAGCATCAATACTCTCTGCTTTGAAGTTTCACAAATTGAGAATTTGTCCCTCTCCATTAAATCTATGCAACATCTACCAGCTGCCAACAGTGAACTATTCTGCACTCCTTAGTCCTGAGCAACAGAAACCAATGTGCTCTGACTTTGGTCAATGAGTTATATGGGGCAGGGCCACCCAGAAAATATGCAGGAACTATAAGCAGAGTTTCATTAAGTTTAGTCTTCCCTAAACAGATGTGAGAAAACAAAGGAAGCAATCTCCAATGCTCTGAAGATTAATTCAATTATCCTAGTCTGACTCATAACTTCATCTCGGGCATTTTGCTGCCGTGAAGCACAGAGAGCCTCCCTTTCTGCTAATTCCCTCTCCATTTGTGCCTTTCTCTTCTGCTGCTCCAGTTTATCCTCCAGCTTTCTGATTTTCTCTTCATACTCCTCTCTTATCAGTGCTACCTCTCTCTCTAACTCTGCTCTGTAACGTTCTTGCACCGCTTGGGTTTGTTTCTGAATCTCCTCCTCTGCCCTTTGGTACATCTTATTAGTGTAGCATCCTCCTTTGTTCTCCATCACCATGTGATGGACCAGGGCCAGCAGCTGCGCCCTCTGGGCCTCCTGCTCAGCTCCTGTCGCCCTATTGTTGAACACACAGTAACGATCACCAAACTCGCCCATCAGCTCTTGAAGGCCTTTGGGAGCTTCTTCTAGATAATCATGGAGGTCAGTGCCATCCAAGTCATCTTTCCGGGTGAATAAGAGAATCATATGTCTCCTAGCTCTGTGCCCAAACATTTTCAGGATCTTCTCAGTGGCCTGGTGCTCTTCCCGCGTGTAACGGCCCAGTGGGACCACCAGGAGCAGAACGTGAGGCCCTGGGGAGGTGAGGAGGATGCAGCGAGCTATCTCCTTGCACGTGTCAGCATCCTGTACCTCGGTGTCGAAAATGCCAGGCGTATCCACGACGACAATTTCTCTCCCGTGCCACGTGCTGCTCTCTTTCTCGCATGACTTGGTGATGGATATTGCTGCAATGCTGAAACGAAACACTTTCTTTCCGAGGATGCTGTTCCCTGTTGCACTTTTTCCTGCTCCAGTCTTACCCACTAAGACAAGTCTCAGTTGTGAGTCTCTGAGGTCTTGGTTTCCAAGCCCTGGGACATCAGGGAACAAAAGCCACAGTGTTAGGTTCCACCTCTGATTGTTTCTCCCGCAGGGCCGCTGCCCACCGCTGCCCTCCGCTATTGCCCACTAGGGTCCTCTCCCTTGAGTTACCTCTGCACTCACGGGGAGTCTATAGAAAGTCCTCTGGGCCTGATGTTCCTCTTGCAGTACTTAGGGAATGCTCAAGTACTTTTCAGGATTCCCTTGAGGTTCTTACTCTGACCTTTTGTAGCTAAGTAGCCCAGAGAAGAGGAAACAGAACGGTTCAAGAAGAGAACTCTGAGCTACTGCAAGTAGCTGTTCCTCATAAGATAATGCAGGAAGGAACACGAAATCTGACTTTGGGACATTGCAGAGGGAGATTGTTTCCCCCCAATACATATCCAAAATGGAATTTTCTTCTTCCCATTAAGAAGCCAGGTAGGTGGGTATCCAGCTCATCTCACCCTTGCAGGGTAGACAAGGGCTACCCGTGCAGGAAGACAAAGTGTCTCTTTGTATTTCACATACACAACCACCCTTTCAGGGATTATGACTCACAGGAAAACAAAATACCCAACATTTAAAGTTAACGACTTGAGCTTTAGCAAATCAAGAAGAGGCAACGCTAGATATATCGACAGAAATTTAGTGAAGTTTTTATATTGTAAATTAATAGGTTGAAGAATTATAGCCAGAAAATATTGACATCCAGAGAGGCTACACCTGGCAGTTCTGGTGTGTCTACATTGTAGGAAGTAGGACATAAGAACCCTCACCAAGCCCGTGCTCAATCAGCATAGTTTCACCTCTCTTCTTCTTAACTTTTATGCTACATCATGTGGAGGAAGTGGAGGAATTGGAGACGGTCGAGAGAAATGAAAGCGCAGGGTGAATGAAGAGAAAATGAGAAACGAGGTTGGAAATAGTTTGCTCTTGCTCAGATGGGGACTGGCTGACAGGTCAGGAGGAACCTGCCTGGCCAGGGGAGCCCAGAGCACCCTCTCACCATGGCTGGTCCTGGGTTCACTGGAGTTGGAACTTGTACTGCAGTATTGGGCTGCCATTGTACTCTGAATTCCTGTAGATAAAGAAACATAACTATGTCATTTTAGGGGAATGGAGAGTGACTGGAAACCTCAACCTCCTGGAGCCAACAGTTGCTTTTTTTCCATAAACTTGCTACTAGATTCCTCCTCCCCATTTCCCAACACTTCTCCTCAACTCCCCATTTTCAGTCTAATTTCAGATTGTCCCTTTGTCTTTACACAAACATAAATTCTTCACGTGCTTCCTCAGCCCTGGTTCTGTGCACCCTTCTCCCTCTCTATTCAGGGAATTATTGCTTTGAATGCCATTTATATGTGGTCTGTAGGCTAGACTCTCATCAGAGTTCTCAACTTTTATATCCCATTCAACTTCTCCAGTTGGCAATTCCACAGGCATCTCAAACAGAACTCAGCCAAAACGGAACACTTAACCTCTACCCCAAGGCTGCTCTGCCTCCATCATTCCGTTTCAGTAAAGAGCATCACCATTCAGCCAGTGGCTCAGGTGGAAACTTGGGGTCATCTACAACTCTTCCTTCCTCACTTGCTCATCAGTCCATCACCAAATTCTATTGCTCCTACTTCCAAAAAGCACAAAGTTATCCTCTTCTCCTCATCTTCCTGTTAATTCAACCTACTGTCATTTGTTTGCAATGTAACAAGCTCCTAACTGATCATCTCAGATGCCTTTTCAAAACTAAAATTTGATTATTTTTCTTGCTTAAATTCTTTAATGGCTTTCTATTGCTTTTTTAAAAAAATAGTTGAGAATCCTTGGATGGTCCATAAGGCCCTGCATGATCAATTGCTCTCTCTCTCAAAAGGCTTTAACCATACTGGCCTCCTCAATGTTCCCAGAAACTCTAAGCTCCTTCCAACTTCCAGACCCTTGCGGAACAGTTCCCTCTCCCTGGAGCACTCCTTCTCCAATCCATTGCCCAGCTCATTCCTGCTCAGCCCTCAGCCCTTAGCTCTCTCTCTGTCACTTCTCCAGAGAGGGCCACTCCAATTTCTCCACAGAGCTCACTCGCTCACCCAACTCTATTCCTGAAAGCTTCAAGTTATTTATAAATTCTATAAATGGTGAAAGGAATCATTTATTTGTACAACTATCCTCTGAGCAGTGACCCCTCAAAGAGGCATTCATTTGTGAGGCTCAGCCTTGAAAACAGATTACAGCCTAAAGTCAGCAAAGACGGGAAACAGGAACTAATGAGAAATACATTCTGAGAGCAAGTCAGCCAGGAGGTTTCAGATGTAGACCCAGGGCAGAGGTCATCTCTCTACCAAATCACACACTTTCCTCCCTCCTGCCCCCACCCACAAACACCCTTATTCCCTTACCTGGAAAATCTGGGTCCTGCTCGCTCCTCTCACTTTGAAGGCAATGCTAAGCCGGGATATTGAGAGAGGAGGAGAGAGGAAGTGAGGGGAGGAGCCGTTCAAACTTGCTCATGCAAGAGACCTGCCCACCTTCTCATCTATCACACTAATAGAACTGTCTGCAATGACGGAGTTGTTTTGTGCAGTCCAATATGATAACCTTTGGCCACACAGGCTATTGAGCACATGAAATGTAATGAATATGATTGCAGAATTGGATTTTAATTTTATTTCATTTTCATTAGTTGAAAGTTAAAGATAAATAGCCACACCTGCCTAGTGGCTACCATATTAGAGCATGCAAAAGTTCTATAGGGAGGAAAGAACTATGGGTCATGCTGTGAAATTCTGGAAGAAACTGCTGGGTCAAAACCGAGTGTTGGGCCGGCTCCACGGCTTAGCGGTTAAGTGCGCGCGCTCCGCTGCTGGCGGCCCGGGTTTGGATCCCAGGCGCGCACCGACACACCGCTTCTCCGGCCATGCTGAGGCCGCATCCCACGTACAGCAACTAGAAGGATGTGCAACTATGACATACAACTATCTACTGGAGCTTTGGGGGGAAAACAATAAATAAATAAAAATCTTAAAAAACCAAAAAACAAAAAACCAAGAGTTGCTAGCTATTCTGAAAGACCTATGGATCCCTGGACCCACTTTTCAGCGCAACAGGCCTCCCAGCCCAACATTTGCTCCCAGTGCTTCGGGCTTGTATCCGTGTAGGCAGCTACCACCTCCTCTCCTTCCTCCCAATGATGTGGGAGAGAGAGCAAGACTGCTATTTCCAGGGTGTCTCTTCTGAATCATCTGCTAGAAGAAAGAGCAAATGATCATTTGACTACTTAGGAAGGGTCCAAAGTATCCCTGTGAGATGGTACTAGAACCATTTGGAATAATCTAAGCCTTGACATCTGACACTATCTGCCAGGAAAATGGAAACTGTGAGGATTGTAATGAGGGTCCCAGTTCTTCAGAGATGTGGATCCTATCTAAAAGGGGTCCCAATTTACCATTATAGCCCAAAACTGAGACAATTTAGAGTTGCATAGGACTTCATTAATTATACGAGTTGCTAACAAGTCTAAAGAGAAGACAGGAATTTCTGTGAAGATAGAGTATGGTTGGCCCTGTGTATACAAGCACAGGATAAGTACCCTAAAATAGAGGACAGGGCAATGGAATAAAGCATGCACCAGCAGTAAGGATAAATGACATTCCAGAACAATATAACCTAAATAACAAGGACGTCTCAGTCCCTAGGTGAGACAGGCAAGCAAAAGTGAGTCAGAAGAATAGGCAGAGTGTGACCACATTGCAGTGATTCTGAAGTGGGTGACTTAAAGAGAGAAAGGGAAAGACTATATTTTGTTTCTATAGTTTAAGCCTCGCTGGAAGGTTTGTGTCATTCTCTATTTAATTGTGGGAGTGGGAGCAGAAACTGATGTAAAATATAGTAGTTCTTTAAGGTACTATTAAACCCCCAGACCATTACTTAGGTATTCTTTATTCAGGTTAAAGGGGTCACTTCTCATAGGAAAATTCTCTCTTATGACTTACATTTGGAATGACACCCACGTTGGGCTAAATGTTTTCACAGTAAAGCAATATGTTGAGAGAAATTTCTAGCTTTAAAGACTTATATTATAAAAGAAAAACCATCTAAAAATAATTATCTGAGATATTACATTTAAAAATTGGAAAAGGAACAGAAAATTGGACCTAAAGCAAGGAGAATGAAATAAATAATACTGGGAAGAAATCACTGAAATAGAAAACAGAAAAACAATAAAGAAAGCAAATGAAAACAAAAGCTGATTCTTTGAAAATAACTGAGAAAATTGACAAGCCTCTACCTATATGAAGAAAAAGGGTAAAAATATACAAATTACCAACATCAGGAATGGAAGAGGGGACATCACTACAAATCTTACAGATATTAAAGGGAAATAATGGACTGTAATGTAAAACTTTATGCCAATACATTTGACTATATAGATGAAATAGACAGATTCCCTGAAAAGCACAACTTAGCAAACCTGCCCTAAGAAGAAACAGAAAATTTGAAAAGCCCTACATCAAATAAAAAATTAAAATTGTAATTTAAAACTTTCCCATCCGGAAAACTTCAGGGCAAATTAATTCATTGGTAAATTTCATTAAATATTTAAGGAAAAAATTATATGATATCAATCTAACACAAATTCAGAAAATGAAAGAGAAAATGACACATCCTAATTCATTTCATGAAGCCAAACATGCCATGACCCAAAACCAGATGCAGACATCACCAGAAAAGGAACCACAGACCAATATCCCTAATCAAAATAGATACCAAAATACTTTAAAGAATATTAGCAAATGAAATCCAACAACATACATAAAAATACTATATCATGACTGAGTGGGGTCAATTCTAGGTGTACAAAGTTTGTTTACCACTTGATAATCAACATAATTCACCATCAACAGATTAAAGAAAACATATACAAATATTCCCTGACTCATGATGGTTCGACTTATGATTTTTCAACTTTACGATGGTGGGACAGCAATATGCATTCAGTAGAAACTGTACTTAGAATCTTCAATTTTGATATTTTCCTGGGCTAGCGATATGAGGTACGATCTTCTCTTGTGATGCTGGGCAGGGCAGCAGCCGCAGCTCCCAGTCAGCCATGTGATCACAAGGGTAAACAGCCAATAATACACTTGCAACCATGCTGGGCGCACACAACCATTCTGTTTTTCACTTTCAGTACAGTATTCAATAAATTACATGAGATATTCAACACTTCATTATAAAATAGGCTTTGTGTTAGATGATTTTGCCCAACTGCAGGCTAATGTAAGTGTTGTGAGCACATTTAAGGTAGGCTAAGCTATACTATGATGTTCAGTAGGTTGTGTAATAAATGCATTTTTGACAGATTATTTTCAACTTATGATGGGTGTATTGGGATGTAATCTCACTCAAGGTCGAGGAGCATCTGTAATCATTTTAATTGTTCCAGAAAAAGCATTTGATAAAATATAACATCCATTCAAGATTAAACCTCTCAGCAATCTAGGACTAGAAAGGAACTTATTCAATCTGATTAAAGACATCTAGGAAAAAACTATTTCTAACATCATACTTAACAGCGACAGGCTAAGTGTTTTAGATCTAATATTAGGCATCAGGCAAGGATGTCTCTTCAATATTGCCTTGGAGACCCTAGCCGTTGCAGTAGGACAAGATAAAGAAATAAAAGGCATAAAGATTAGAAAGGAAGACATAAAACTGTCTTTATTTGCAGATGACATGATCATGTATGTAGAAAACGTAAGGACTCTGTGAAAAAGCTGGTAGAACTAAGAAGTGAATTTACACAGCTGCAGGATACTAGGTTAATATACAACATTCAACTGTGTGTTTATTTACTAGCAATGAACAATGGGAAAATTAAATTTTAAAAATAATACAATTTAAAATAGAATAAAACATTTAAGAATAAATTTAATGAAAGATGTGTGTGACTGATACACTGAAAATTGCAAAAGAAAATCAAGACCTAAGTAAATGCAATGTTTGTGGATTGGAACACTCAGTATTGTTAAGGTGGCAATTCTCCCTAATTGATCTATGAGTTCTGTAGAATACCAATCAAAATTCTAACAGAATATTTTAAAAGAAATTGCTAAGCTGATTTTAAAATTTGCGCGGAAAGGCAGAAGACATGGAGTAGCTGAAACAATTTCAAAGAGAAGAAGAGGAAATCTGGAGGACTTACAACACCTAATATCAAGTTTTACTATAAAGCTGTAATAATCTAGACAATGTTATATTGGTGAAGGGATAACAGAGATCAATGGAAAAGAACAGAGGATCCAGAAACACACCCATATTTAAATCATCAATTGATATCCAACAAAGCTGCCAAAGTAATGCAACTGAGAAAAGACAGTTCTTTCAACAAATTCTGTTGAGATTGCTAGATCTGTATGGAAAATAATAAACCTGAATCCTTGTCTCACATCACACTGAAAACTAAATCAAAATGGACTTAAACCTAAATGTAAGAGCTAACACTATTCTACTTCCATAAAAAAATATCAAAGAAAATCTTGGTGATATTGGGTTAAACAGATTCCTTAAATAGGACAAAAAAGTACAAAATATAAATGAAAAAGCTGAAAACATAGACATTATCAAAAATCAAACTTTTGCTCTTCTAAAAATACACTTAAGAAAATGAAAAGGCAAGCCACAGGCTGGGAGAAACTATTTGCAAAACATATCTAACATAAACATTTATCCAGGACATAGAGAGAATTCCTACAAAATAATAATAAAAAGACAAACAACCCAATAATAAAATGGGCAAAAGATTTTACAAAGGGAGATATACAAATAGCCAATAAGCACATAAAAATTGCTCTACTTGACTAATCTTTGGGGAAATGCATATGAAAACCTTAATGAGATACCACTACACACCTGTGAGGAAGATTAAAGCTGAAAACACTGACAATACCAAACGTTGGCAAGGATGTGCTTTCATAGATTGCAAACAAGCATATGAAAAGCTACCATATTTTTGGAAAAAAATAAACAGTATCTCATAAAATTGAACACACAAACCAGCTATCCCACTCCCAGGTGTTTACTTAAGAGAAATAAAAACACAGACTTGTATGTGAATGCTTATTTGTTATAATATTTTAATAGCCCAAACCGGAAACACCCAAAGGTACATCAATTGGTGAATGAATAAACAAATTCTGGTATCTCCATACTGCTATGGGTTAAATTGGGTCCCCTAAAAAGGTACATTGAAGTTTTAATTCCTGGAACCTCAGAATGTGTTCTTATTTGAAAATAGGGCCATTGGAGACATAATTAGTTGAGATGAGGTCATACTAAAGCAGGGTAGACCCTTAATGTTATAAGGACTAGTGTCCTTATAGGAAGAGGAGAACGCCATGTGACAACAGAGGAAGAGCCCTGAGTGATGGGTCCACAAGTCAATGAACACCAAGGGTTGCTGGCGACACCAGAAGCTAAGAAAAAGAAAGAAGCTAAGAACAGATTCTCCCCTAGAGCCTGCAGAGAGAGCATGACCCTGCAGACACCTTGATTTTGGACTTCTAGCCTCCAGAACTGTGAGAGAATAAATTTCCATTGTTTTAAGTCACCCAATTCGTGGTACTTTGTTATGACAGTCCCAGGAAACTAACGCACATACCATGGAATTCTAGTCAGCAATGAAAATGAACAAAAAAACAACACATGGCACAGCATGGAGGACTCTGAAAGGAAACCCTAAGTGAAAGACGTCAATCAGGAAAGACTACATCCTGTAGATTACATTCATATGAAATTCTAGAAAAGGCAAAACTATCACAACAGAAAGCAGACTACTGGTTGTGTGGGACATGGAGTTGGAGGAGAGGATGGACTCCAAAAGGCCATGAGGAAAATTGTTAGGTGTTGGAACTATTGTGTATCTTGATTAGGGTGGTGGTCATACAGCTGTGTAAAATTACCAAAATGCATTGAGCTGAACACTTAAAAGGAACAAATTTTATTTTATGTGAATTAAACTCAGTAAAGCTGAAAACCTGCAGCTGTTTAGGTACAATTGGATGTAACTTGGATAATTGGTCGTGGTAGATTGATTGTAAAAGTGGCCACCAGTTTGCACACTACCTGTGTCCACGGCCTTTGACAACACGAACCTGTATCTCTTCCCATGCAGAGATGGGGTCTATTTTGGCACCTCTTGGAGCTCGAAGGCTCAAAGGCTTTGCAGTTTGGTTTCCAACAGCTTCTGCTCTTTTGTGCATTTCCTGTTTCTGCTTCACAATTAGACACCCTTTTTTTCAACCTATGAACTACCTTCTCATGCATATCAAAATATCTATACCACTTTACTAGAAATTCTATAGTAAAGAGACCAGAGGATGATTTTCACACACATCACAGCACAGTCCCCAGGAAGTCTGTGGACTACAACAGATGTTAGCCCATTTCTCAGAATCTTGGCACAAAACCAAGAAAGGTAGTTGTAAATTTGCCTGTGCACAGCAACCTTCCTCTCTGTCTCCGCCACTGCCAATTCCGGCCTCATTGCCTTCAGTGTTTGTCTTACTGTCACATAGAGGTGTGGTCACTTCACAGGACAGAAAGGTTAAGAAGCAAGGTCGGTGTCCCCTAGTCTGCGTGGGATGGTGCTCACAATGGACTCAGACCTGGAGAGGAGGCCTAATTAAGGATAGTCACACCCTGTCTTGAGCTGAGTAAAATGACCAGTGCAATTAGTGGGTGCAGGTTGTTCAGCCTGTCTCTGCTTTTAGAATCTCAACAATGGAGCTTGAAAAGCCTACACTGCTTATAGGAAATTTAGCAGGTCAATTACCTTTTTATTATTGCTTATTTTGAAGTAATAGCAACATAAAATTTGTATTTGAATTTCTTTATTTGCAAGTCGTGAATCGCCACAAATGATTCTGTGTAAATATAAATATGTAAAAGTAGTTTGCACATTCTCTCTTTTATATTTTATTTCTACTTAACAAGAGATCAGGGATTTCAGAGTGAAGATAGCAAACTGATCATACTCCAACCGTTCTAGAAAATGGATTAACATAATTGTAGACCACAGACGTCCTCTCTTTTGGTAGCCCCTAATTAAACCACAACATCCTCAAGAACTTGGGAGAATGAGCATCAATGACAAGAGGTTTCAACAAATTTCTGGAAGGCAGAGAGATGAAGGATGCATTGGGGCAGAACATCCCCAGTCAACACGGTCCCAGAGAGGCTGTGGGTGAGCTGGCCTCAGATGGTGACTGGACCACCTCGGGGAGGTTCAGCTTCAGAAACTACGGCCGCATGGAATGGGGCAGCGGGGCTGAAAGTAGCGTGTGATGTGAACATGAGACAGTTGATTCTTCCATCATCCCCTCATTGCCCCCTAATTCAGAAACCCACACTTCAAGGAATCTCTTCCAAGTGTGTAATTAGAGGGTTCCTCTCTATAGATTAGAACATCTCCAGAGGAAAGCCTCTGCATTCCGGTATTTAGGGTTCCCTCTGCATAGCAGCCTGTTCTGCTCTGTCACCTCAGGTGAAGCCTGCAGTCACAACCCTCACCCATCACGAGGAACTTCCAGGGAGCTTTTGTCATGACTTACCCTCAAATATGAAAAGACGATCAGGGAGAACTGACATTTGAGGACAGACAACAACATGAAAGAGAGAGAGAAGAGACTAAGTAAACAGAAAAATAACTCTAAAAGGAGCCATTAACTCAGGAAACAAAAACAAAAACAGGAAAAACCAACCAGACAAATAAAAATAAACCTCTCATTCAGGTATCTAGATTACTAAGCCTCCCACTGAAATCAGCTAAAAATACTGAGAAATATCACATATATTTTCTTAAAAGCAAGGGTGAGCAGGCAAGAAAATAAGCTTTCTCAGACACGGAGTGGAGTGAAGGGGAAACCCAGAGGGTGAGTGAGGGTGGCAGCTGGCTGTCGCTCTGGAGTGTCTCACCAACCCTGGTGAGCTCTACTTCTCAAAGCCACACTGACATGTAAGTGAGAGTCAAAGATCAGAACTGTTTTGGGGGTTCTAATAGGGGACCTTTTACCATGAAAAGTAAACCCCAAAGGGCTACTTCCTCAACGAAGGGAGATCTAGAAGCAATGACTTCCAATTGGTGAGCTGGATGATAGATTTGAAAAAGAACAGGCCACAATGCAATTAAACAGGCAAATGATGCTTACAGAGAGAAAATGGAAGAGAATAGGGCAGAGGGAATGTTCAAAGTGATAATGGCTGAATTTTTTTCTGAACTGATGAAATTCAACAACCCATACAGTCAAGAAATCTAACTAATCCCAAAGAAGAGAATTAAGAAAGAATTCACACCTTAACATATAATAGTGAAACTATAGGACATGGAAGCAAAGAGAATGTCTTGGAAGTAGCTGGAAAGAGCAGACAGATGACCTTTGAAAAAGAGATAGCTGGAACTACACTGATTTCTTAATAGTAACAAAGGAAGCCAGAAAACAGTGGAAATGCATTTTCAATGTGCTGAGAGAAAATAACAGTCAACCTAAAACTCTATACTCAGGGAAAATAGCTGTCAAAAATAAGTGCAAAACAGACAGTGACCTCAGCATCATGGCAGAGTGACTTGTTCCCTTAGTCTCTCCCCACGAAGTTACAACTAAATGGACATTCATTAACCAACAGGGGATTCCCTACAAAGCACAATAGGATGTCTGAGAGATCCATGCACCCATACATCTGAAGGTGGAGGAACTGGATCCCTGGGAAGCGGTGGAAAGAGGTGAGTGGATCCCTCCCCCATCCCAGCAGCAGTGATGTAGGTTGTGGGTCCTCAAACAGCAGCCGGTGCATGACTGTAAGAGGAGGCGGGGGCAGTCAGGCCTGTGAGCGAACGCTTTCCCTTTCAGAGTTGCAGCCCAGCCATGGGAGCGCCCCCCATGCTGCAGCAGTCCCGCTTGTAGGAACACTCCCCACCGAGTGGGCTGGCTCATGAGAAGGAGCTCCCACCAAGGGCTGTAGCTCAGGCGAACTGCCTGTGAGCACAGAGCTGGCCCACGTGTGCAATAGAAAGTGCCCCTCCCCTCCTGCCTAGTACACCAGCTTGGCCAGTGCCCTGCCAAGGCAGTGGTCCTGCACCAGAGCGCCTGTGCATGTGTGTGTGACCTGCCAAGTGGCTGTGGCCAGCGGGCAAACACAGATGAGCCCTATTGGCACAGCTCCCACCAGACACGGCAGGTTCAGAAAAGAGAGCGCCTGCCCCCAGCCCCCCAGAGGTGGCAGGTTGAACTACTACAAATGCCCCAGCAAAGGATCAGTTCATCAAACACCATGAAAAACACCATAACACTTTAGAGCAGAAGGAAAATGACAAGTCTCCAGAAATAAATCCTGAAGTCAAAGAAATTTACAATCTAAATGACAGAGAATTCAAAATAGTTGTCATAAAGAAACTCAACGAGTTACAAGAAAGCTCAGAAAGACAGTTCAATGAGCTCAGGAATAAAATTAACGAGCAGAAGGAATACTTCACCAAAGAAATTGAAACTCTAAAAAAAGCCAAACACAGATGTTGGAGGTGAAGAACACAATTAATGAGATAAAAAATAATCTAGTGGGACTTCTTGCTCTCTGAATTCTGCTTGGCTTCTGCCAATGTGAAGTCCATTCATGGGGGTATCTCATTGGTACAGCAAGATCAGGGTGTTTGGTCTCCTGCCTGTCCCCCTGCAGGGTTGGCTCTCTCCACCCCACTCTCCTTATGGGCTCTAGTTTTCCTCACCCCCTTAGGCTTAGGATGTGATCTCCTCACTGTTGCTAGCACGCCTCCTTGTTGTTTCTGAACCCTGTGTCCACAGCTGGTAGGAAGCCCCTTCACTAGACTTCCCTCCAAGTCCTGAACTAGAGAGGGCCATCTCTCCTGCTAGAATCCAGATTGATTGATTTTTGATACCCACTTCTTTTTCTCTTTCAGAGCATTCCTTGATCTTTATTATTTTTTTAATTCCCTCTAGTGTTTTCTGCCACCAGAAATCTCTCTCCTGACAGCTGAAATCTCTGGGACAAGTTTACCCTCACAAACTGTGACATTGGCAGTAAACAGATGAAAGGTTCTGTCTTGTTAAAATAATTGAGAAACTTCACAGTTAGAGGGATGACTTTATGTCATTTCTAATGATTACAGATAACCCAAATTCAAATTGTTGTAATTTTTACAGTCGTCCTTTATTTGGTCTGTGAACATGACTGAGAGTATTGACTGCATCAGTGGATTTTAGGGAGACAGGGATTTGAGAGTAAGCCTGGAGAAAATAAGATCCCAAATACCTGCTGATTCTAAGGTTCATTACAAAAGTTATGAATGGAGTAAAGACAAAATGGAAGGAAATAGCTGCTGTGAGAAACATGTGCATAATATATGTGAAATAACACGGCTCACCAAGCTGCTGTTTGCCATAATGCAGTTCTTGTGTTTAAAGGTAGTTCCTGGTGAGCGACTCATCAGTGCAGTATTATCTCCAGAGAGCAAAGTATTCATGACTGTCCTGACTTCTTTCATTTAAGAACCATTTAAAAGTCGTTTTCCTTCACAGACTTGCAGAAGCATTATTAACTCAACTAACTTGTGTGTGTCTAGGCCTGTGTTAGGGCCTATTGAAGATGCAACTCAAGTGAGTTGATTTCTTTTCTCTCAATCCTATATTCTACTTTGGAAGGTAAGACAAACCCAGAGGAAAAATGACTAAATCAAATAAATCATATCAACATTATCTCTTGGCTTGACAAATGAAATATTGCCCACTCAATTATCTTAACAATCCTTATTTCCCAGTTTCCTCTGAAAGTGGTTCTAATTGAGTTCTGAGGTCTCTGGAAGTTCCCTCATTTAGTGTGTACATTATCCCTGTTGTTGAAATATGTGATCAACATGACCCATAATGAGGAATTAAACTAGGATTTCTAGGAGAAGACTTGCTTAAGAATTCAGGGCTTGCAGTCTACCATGAAGGATGTATAGAATGTGTCCATGTGGGTGATTGAACGATGATCATGCTTCTTTTCAGAAACAGGAAAGTTAGGGCTGCAGGTAAGATTATCAGGGGAAACATAGAGTCAGGAGCAACAGCATTCAGTGAGGTTTGTGACAAGTTGAGTATCAGATGTCAAGGGAGAGTTCAAAGTAAGAGTCCTGCATTAACTTGAAATATTGGACTGAAGATGATGTGACAGGCCTGGGGTGAACGTGGCAAGATATTAACATAAATATCTCCCTCAGGTTCAGCTGAGTCCTCAGCAATTGCCAATATCTCTACATTCCAAAGATGTATGCTAGAAGATCTATGTAGGAATTGGCAAAAGAAAGAGCTAGAAACCAGTTATGTGAGGTTTAGTTCTTGAACTAACTCAATAGGTAATGAAGAGGTGAAGAGGAAAGGACTTTGTAAAAGAGGACATTTAGATTATAGAGACAATGACCCTGAGGATGGGCAAATTCTTGAGGTTCATCTGTAGAGTAACCACCTTCCCAGTAAGAAGGTGATCTTTATGTAACAATGTGTTTAAATAAGGGAGGCTCCACAGGGACTCTAATCCACAGTGGGATGGTGCTTCTCCCTAATGGGATGATGGTTCCCTCTCATCTCAAACTAAGTAAGGAGTCCTCTTGGACTTTGAAGCAGCCAGAAGACGTGGGTGGTATATGGTAAGAGTCCTGGGAGGATGTGACCTTTGTACTCCGGGGTTTGGCTTTGCAACCTAGTGCTCCTGTGGGAAATATAATATGAAAGGATGTTGCTATGTGCTGGGGGGAGCGGGGTAAAGATGAGGAGGAAGCAACCATAACTTTCACTGACTGAGGGGCAAAAGTATGTGTTTCCCTTAAATCAAATGTGGGCCACACAGAAGGGAGCCAGCCAGAGCCAGCTTGAAGGGAATTTGCTGAGGAGTCCACCAGGCATTCCATCAGTGGTGTATGGATCAGACCTCTGGAAGTCCACGTCTTGGGAACTGGACTTGAAGTAGCCAGCTGGAGGGGAGATAGCAGCCATTGGTTGGACTTGTAATTGTAGATTTCCAGGGGAGACTCTGTGAAGAGTCATCAATGGTGCCCCTTGAGGAGAAGAGCTACTAGGTGTGCCTCCAACCCCCCAAGTCAATTACATCCGACTTGTCTTCAGTATTTCATCCTCTTCTCCTCCAACTCACGAGGAGTCAGAACCAAGGGGAATGATTGGAGAAGGAGGAGGAGAAGGGCAGTGTGGGGAAGCCCTGTCCACATTGCAGGTCCTTCTGCTGAAGCAGGCACAAGCTATGGGAAGGAGAAGCTTTATCAGTCAACGAATTTCAGAGTTTGATTATTGAGTTGGATGTTTTAATTACACAAATGTGACTAATAGTGATTGGAGAGGCTTTTTCTTAGA